CCTCAAATGGATGCCGTATTCTGGCGTACAAATCTCCCTCCCAGCAACGATGAGCCGTGGTTATCTCCGTAAAAGCAAAATAACCCGCCCAAGAACGCCAAGCTATAGCACTGTGAATTGCATCTGCGAATAAACACATGCATAGCATGAGCTGACGTGTAGTAGAGCCCTCCCTACCGAGAATACGAAGAGAATGCCGAAGACGAAACCGAACCCCCAAGAGAAGGGTAAACGGGCATACCAGAATAAATTGAGTGAGTATTCGAACCAAGCCCGCCATGATTGACCATTCCAGTATCATGACGTATGCGTGGTCGGTCCATCGTAGCACGACTTGGACCGTCGTTATTCCCAAAAAGGAAGACAAGCTCGTCCTTTCCTAGTCTACCAACGCTGCGGCTGGCATTCTCATCCAGAGCAGCATCAACAAACTTGCGCTTGCGATTTTGAAGCTCAATGATGCGATCTTCCACAGTACCCTCCACCAAAATCCTATGAACACTGACTGGTTTCTGCTGCCCGATGCGATGTGCACGGTCAACAGCCTGCATTTCTACAAATGGATTCCTATATAATAATCAGTTAAAGTCCGCACGAACATGGCTTGTATAGATCCTACCAGAATGGGTCAAGAATGATTACTTGTGAAGCAGCAACTAGGTTTAGTCCTGCATTGCCAGCCTTCAATGAGACTAGAAGGATCTTGCACCTCGGATCATCTGTGAATCTGACAATGGCGTTATTACGTGCGTCTGCACTCATACCTCCATCGTAACGCCCAAATCCAATCCTTTCACTGTGGATGGGAACTTCCATCAGATCAAGTAATGTGGTGAATTGACTGAAGATTATCGTCTTAACATCAGGAGCCGAATTTCGCAGGATGTCCACGCATTTGTCGATCTTGGATGAGGAAACCCAGTTCTTCTTCAGGTAACGCATATACTGACGACGGCCATCTGCGCTTTTGGATGCCCTTTTTTTCAGCTCAGCCAATGACACGTGCTTGTCCTCTGGCTTTTTCCCAGTCTTCTTCCTCCTGGGCAGCTTTTTCGACCGATGAGATTTCTTTGACTTGTCTTGGGATATAGCCTTGCTTCCTAATGGCTTTGATTTGCTGGCCAACTGGCTCCTCTCATCTTCGCGCTTTGGCTGGCCACGAAAGGTTGCAAAAATATCGGCAGGCAAGTCATCATCGCTTCCATCACTAGCTCCCAGCATCTTCGAAAGAGCCTCCTTGGCCCCTTCCTCATATTTTATGGCCTCCTTCTTGCAATCGACCTCTATTTTCGGTTTGGTTTCCTTTGCTCTCGTCTCGAGGTCATCATCTTCGTCAGAAGAAGTCTCATAGTCATCAGGAACAATGAAGTCCCTAATGTTACCATTCTCGTCGGCTTCTTCAAGTCCGCTATCTGAGTCCAAATCCGAGTCCGAATCATAGCTGTCGCTATCTCCATCATCAATGCCATCAGCGTTGCCCGTCAGAGATTCTGAGTTCGGCATGTGAGCGCGCTGGAATGTTTCGTAGTCGATAATTTTTTTTAAATCGACTGCGCCACGACAGGTGGGACATTTTGCTGATGTCGAGTCTTCACCGTTGGCAATAGCCTGATCAAAACTGCTTGTTATCCTGACGAGGCATTGTGCACAAGTATCATGACCACAAGGTACCACAATACTCGGATTTGGAACTGGATCATAGCAGACGGGACACTCAAATGGAACCGTTGCATCCATGATACGACCAATAACATCTGGGAGAAGGGTTTTCGCCAGCTTGAGCATCTCCTCTGCAGTTGCCTCTGTGGGGGCCTCTTCATAGTCCATAATGAGATGAGGATGACAGGCGGCCTGGCGAAGTCTCAAAAGGAGGACAAGGATATTAGAATAATTCTTGCCGATTGTACCGGCTTTGAGGTACTTGTTGAACTGAAGCTGGGTCTTCCTCTCTAATGAAGTATAGTACTCCTGTTCGTCCTCGTTGAATATGGCATTTGAAACCACTTCCGTCTTTTCAGGCAGAACCAAAATTGGTTTCCCATCAATCTGAGATTGCTTGGTTCGGCGTAAAAGGATAGCCTTTAAAACAGCCTGGAGCTTCTTCATGGCTCTTTTCATATTGTACTCGGAGCCAGTGCCCTTAGTTAGGCAGGAGAACTCCTGGTAAATGTTAGATCAACCCTGTATCCAGTGAGAAAACTACTTACGGATGAGAATCTGCTATATTCATTGTAAGGCTTGATTTTTAAGAAATGTATCAAGCTGTACAACTCGTGGACACCATTCATCATCGGAGTTCCTGTCAGACAGAATCTTGTCTCGGCGTCTAATAAAGAAGCAGCGAGAGCCGACTTGGTGTTTCTGTTTTTGATGCATTGAGCTTCATCTAGGACAACACGGTACCATCTAGAGTTCCTTCCCAAGAAAGGAAGGGTTGACTGGTAAGGCGTGTCATCCATGCCAGGGTGGGCTTCTTTTCTCTTCTCAATGTCCATGTATCTTTTGTACTCTGCAGCGAGTGTTCCGTATGTTGTCAGCACCACATCATGCGTACGGAGAGTTGACCAAGTCGCCTTCTTTCCTGAATGGTAAACAAACGTGCTGAGCCTATGACTAGATACAATCTTGGAAAGGATTTCACGCTCCCATTGCCTTATCAGAGCGACAGGGCCAACAATAAGAGTAGTCTATACACGTTAGTACAGGTGACACAGAGACCAGCAGGCGTATGACGAATAAAGAAATAGGAAACAGACCTTCCGGGCCTTGTTATATGAAGGACGGGATAACAGCAACGCCAGGGTGCTAATTGTCTTTCCGAGGCCCATATCATCAGCCAAGATACCGCCTTTGTTGGAACCCTCTTCCATTGACTTCAGCCACGTAAGTGCCAGTTTCTGATGTTCATATAACGGATATTTAAGACCCTCCGGTGTGCCCTCCCTATCCTCTACAGGTATCTCGGTGTCGGGTCGAATGTTCTCCAAGAGATCCTGTATTTCTTTCTCTGTTTTTCGCGGGTCGGTGACGTAGTTATAGATCTCCCCAGCTAGACCTTGGTTCAATCTATCTCGCATAGCAACATAATCGACCGCGCTGGTCTGGTTAAGAATTTGTGCAAAGGGAGCATTCATCGCCGGGGGTGCCATGCCGGGATATGGACCGCTAATCGATTGTCCGTAGGTGTTGGGATAGTAACTATTGTTACTAGGATATCCACCCAAAAAGGGCATGGTAGAAGGTGGACCCTGGGGTGTATGTGATAGATAGCTTCCATATCCTACATTGATGGGGGGTGGCGGTCTTGATAGATGTTGCTCTCGCCTATTCTCATGGAAGTCAGCTGAGGAAATGATTTCAATGTCTGAATCGCTGTCTTGATCGGGGTAAGACCCCGGCATCTTAGGAAGAGTGTCCGAGCCAAGTGTAGAGAGAGATGCCAGACCATTGAGCGTCAGATCCACAGATTGATAACCATGAGGTCTCTGGCCTGGCTGTGAGCCTTGTGTGACAGCTGCAACTTCGTTATCCTGGGAGTTTGAGTCGTGTTTCTGGGATCTCGATGGGGGGCGCTGGTGTGAAGTCCCCATCATACGATCATAAACAGAGGGCCTCTTTGATGCAGCAGGACCGCTTTCAGATTGAGAAGGTGAAGAAGCCGAATACCTATCTTGGAGGTGGCGCGCATACTCTCTATCATTTTTCAATTTTGCTGCTGCTTCCTCGATTTCCCTCTGTCTGATCTTGTGCAACTCCAATTCACGTGTGACAGGGTCGGCGTAGGTGGTAGTGTATAAGGTCGGAAGACCAGTGGACGGGTTTGGGGAAGTACGCCTTGACTTGCTTCGAGTTTTTCGCGAGCTATCCAGCTCATGCAGCCCATCAAACAATCTTTTTCTAGATGGTAGGGTGAAGTTTGCACTTGAATCCTTGATTGCTGTGGACCCAGAAGCCGAGCTTGAGGGCGGGTGAGAGGGGTCCATTGTGTCGGCTGTAGGGCATCGTCAGCTGGAGTTGTGAAGATAAAGGTGTATAGGAATGGGAGTTGAGTTGGGGGTCTGAGATAAATAGGAGGGAAGTGGTGGCGGCGGCTCGGATACTTGCGACGAAGAAAAACATGCAGAATAACTCACAAGGAAACGGGTCTGTGGATGTAGGGTTGTAATTGGAAAAAGGAGAGGTGGATTCGAAGTTGTTTGTATGCTGTTGTTGTGGTGTACCTCCCCCAAGCACCGAGGCGCCAATGTGTGGTCCTGTTACCCGTCCCCGAAGTGCCCTCAATTGCGTCTCAATACGGGCGATCTCAGCCTTGATGTCTGCTTCGGCCTGCTCAGATCCCTCTGTGTTATTATCAAGGGTAAAGAGAAGGGTTTTTTGCAAGACCAACTCGTCGGCCAGCTCATCGGGGGAGACATAGGCCTCTAGAGGGGATAGGTTCGAGGCGGATGCCATATTTGGGAGGAAGAAGGTGCCGAGAAGATCGGTCAGAACTTCGTCTTAAATGGCAACAGCTATCTTCTTCAAGGCGAGACCAGGCTAGGCCGAGCGGGAAGGAGCAAGCAGAAGGTAATCGGGTGTATAAGCGTGCATGTAGTAGGGAATGACGGTGGCGACATGGGAAACATGAGGCTCTACGTTCCTCCTTCGCCCTTCGTCCTTCCTCTTCCTCTTCCTCTTCGTGAGCCTTTCCGATATTTCCTCTACTTTCCAGGGCGCCCTTTACACTCGTCACGCCACAGGACAAGTCGAAACAAGGCAGAATCAGGCAGGGTAAGACCAGGCAAGGCTGAATGGGGTTGTGCTCAAGCAGGTGCAGCAGGCTGGCGAATAGATGCCTCGGTGGATAATCTAGGGGTGGATTATTGGGTATACGGATCGTATGTGCTGGCGATGTGTAATACTTGGGCTCGGGGTGCAGAGTAGAGTAGGTAAAGAGAGGTAAGAGCCGTATCAATTTTGGTGGCGACAGTAGGAGTATTGTAGTATCTGTTTATCCCCGCCACGCCATGTATGGACCTCCCTCCCGCGTCACAGCCAGCGCGGTGTATAATTGGGATAAATTTTGGCGATCTAGCCGGGTTCCAAAATCCACAACACTAGGCTACTTGCAGGTTTAGTATCGTTTAGTTCCTCCAAGAGCCGCATCGTCGCCCCTGATTCACGTAAAGTCATACACCACCAGTGCCTTCGCTCCATCTTCAGCCTCCTTCAAGACAACCACAACCTCATCGTCAAACCCGATCCAGTCCCCCTTGCTCGTTGTCTGAATGCCGTCGGTTCCTGTTCCTGTGCTGTGCGTTTCTCCCCGCACCCGCACACTTTCCTCGTTCACCACTCTCCGTGACCTTAGTCCTCGCTCTAATTCCCACACACGGAGCTCATCCCCCCCGGAACTTATGCTGACTGCCTTGCCACGTACTCCCACATGTGCGCCTGATACGGATGATGTATGTCCCCAGAGCGTCTTCGCAGCACTGATTTTCAGATCGTCCAGCGTTGATGTGACCAAATAGAGTGCGAGCGTATTGTTCGAATGGCTCGCCAAAAGGTAGGGGTGTGAGTAGCTGAGGCTAGATGGCCGTGGGTTAGTGGGCGGGCTTCCAGGGCCGGCAGCGTTAGGAGCTGAGCTGGATGTTGATGGTGAATTCCCGGCTGAAGAGGGTATCTGTGACAATAGAGGATGGAAGCCCGGTTCTATCGCAGACGCGAGACGGGAGTGTGAAATGGTACCATTGTTAGAGATGTGAAGTTCTTGGAGACCAACAGACCAGCCGCTAGAGTAAGTCGGTAAGGCGTAGGCAATCGAAGCTATTATTGTTTGTGGGGTGGCCCTTATTGAGAGCGAGAGTGGAGGCCAAGTAGTCTGAGACTTGAGGGAGGTAATAAGCCGTGTAGACATGATCTCAGTTGGAGGTTTGTCACCTGTCGAGAAGGCTCTGTTTGGGGCCTCCCATAAATCGTCGTCGCAACTTGATGTACATGATTTAGACGCAGCTTTGTCTTCGAGGATATACAAGGACAGAGCCTGATCCTCTGTAACTGTTAGTAGATGTGGGTTAGAATAAGCGGCAGCAACCAGCGAGACACCCTCCTCGCCCGACCCGGACCTCGATAATATCTTCACGAAGACTCCGTCCATCTCCACCGATCTAATATCAAACTTCCAAATTCCAAATCCGCCATTCTTGAAGCCAACAGCGGCTCTCACCGCGCCAGTTTCTAAAGTATAGTCCAGTGCCAAAGCAGTAGGTGCTGATTGGGAATCATTCTCGAGAGCTACTCGTGCAATACATTTGCTGCTCGCGCCATCCCTTTGTAAATCCCACACACGGAGGCCACTAGCACGGTCAACGGTTAGTACTTTCCCATCGATAATTCTAACCATCAAGCTCCCAGTGTCTGGATTCTTGTTCTCCTGTCCTCTTGGGTGAGTATCCATCCCCTGTCCGTCTTCCACTAACCCAATTTCTCTCACATCTGCAGAACCTCGACTCCAGTTATGCCTTAATCGGTACTTGGCCTTCCAGTCTATCCTCGACGCTGTGGGTTTCTCAATGTGGCCTCTCGTTGGATCAAGGCTCTTTTGATGTTTGGTTTTTTGCTGCTTTACCCAATAATCTTCCTTACTGGCATCTTTCCCATCTCTTTTCCTAATACTTGGCCGAACAAACCGATCCCAGTAAAGGCTTCGCCACACCTCGCCGTCAGTGCTTAATGCTAGCCAGCGCTTTGATACGCTGTGGCATAGAAGTACCGTGGTAACAGGAAGAAACTGTAAAATTCTAATGAGGATTTCATCTGAAAGGCATGAAATCATGTCCCCATCACCCTTGGAGTTTGCTCCCACACGGGGGAGGGGCCGCTGTTTCTTGCTTTCAGGTTCATCAAAACCATCAAAGGCCCCTATGCGTTTCTTTGCGGGCATTATCCGGTCTTTGTTTGAATCCATTTTCTGGGCCTTTTCCTTTCCAGGGGCTAATACTCCAGTGCCGGTCGAAGTCAGCTTATAAATTATATCCCCACAGGGGGATCATCGGCGTAGTAACCTCCAGTGATGTGTACGGGAAAATATTGATTAGGTTCGAGCAAAGGCCATTTGTTTCCAGTAATGGATGGCAAGTGCTTTCCTAGTTTCCTCCTCAGTATAATCAGACAGCGTGGTGGTGTGCACGTGGTGGTACGTGGGTGACTGAGATGTAATAGGTGACGGCGTGGGATTCTGGCCCTGGGATTCTGGCAGAATCAGGCACCCATCCTGAAACCCGTAAATGTATTGGAATAGTTCCGTACGTAGCGTAGGTCACGGAGCTACGGCATAAATAAAGGCCGTAGCCCCATAGATTTCAACAAGTTTGGGCGGAAATCACAGGCATCCCCAGATAAGGAAGAATAATAATCCGAGTGGAGTATTGTGTTGATCTGGGACACGAACGCGTTTCAAGACACATACCGAATCTCATTGCTTCATTCTGCTTTCATATTCTATCAATTGGAACACCTACTAATTAATATGTTAAGATTGTTTCTTTGATATTATAACTAACCTGTGGTGGTATTACGTCGGTGCTGTTGACACCAGCCTCCCAAAGGCAGATTCAAAGACCTTGCCTGCCCAAACGGCGAACATGGCAACTACTATCGACCCAGTGCTCCGCAGCCGGGTTTTGAAGGTCGTCTTCATTTCTCTTCTACTAGATCTTGTATGTCCCTACCACAGTGTTTAGGTTTGAGCAAAGGCTAAGTGCTGCGCTAGATATCTTTCACCTTCATCCTTCCTCTCTTTCCTCGATTACTGGAGTTCTACCGCTCCTTGGAACCAACCGACATCGAATCATCTCCCACCGTTTTAACGAGCGTTTTGCGTTCCCTTAATTCGTACAAGAACGCATTCTCCCGCCCCATCGACTCTCGCTATGATATCGTGATACTCGGCGGGGCACTTGGCTCTCTGTTTTCAGGCCTTCAGGCAGTCGCTGCTCCCATCATCGGGGCCTTGTCTGATAAGTACGGGAGGAGGAAAGCCCTGCTAATCAGCATGTGCGGAAATATTGCGAGCGTACTGTTATGGCTTCTGGCCACCGATTTTAGAACCTTCTTACTGAGTAGGGTTGTTGGAGGGTTGAGTGAAGGCAATGTGCAGATCGCAACTGCAATAGCCACGGATATTAGTGACGGCAAGCAGAGAGGTGCGACAATGGCCTTGGTGGGTGCCTGTTTTTGTATAGCTTTTACTTTTGGTCCAGCTCTTGGCGCCTATCTCAGCACCATATCGCTTGTGGCCGCAAATCCATTCGCAGCAGCGGCCGGCTTCTCACTTTTCCTCATCGTGGTCGAAACGGTCTACCTTTTTTTCTATCTCCCGGAGACGCTCCCGGCTATTACGACGGATACAACTCCAACCACAGGCTCTTTGTCAAAGCCAAAGGGAACTCCAGAGGGGCCAATCCGCACCAACTCGCATCTCCTCCTCAACAGCACTCATCTTATGTTTATCCTTGTCTTCTCTGGCATGGAATTCTCTCTTCCCTTTATGACGCATGACCTATTTCACTACAGCGCCGGTTCTAATGGTCGCTTACTTGGTTACATTGGCCTCATCGCTTCTATCCTTCAGGGCGGCGTCACTCGGCGACTCCCTCCACTCGTTTGCGTGCGCCTTGGGGTGGTATCATGTCTTATTGCTTTCGTTATTCTCTCGACCACTACCACTGTTGTTGGATTATATGCTGCATCTACATTATTGGCAGTGACGACGGCGACTGTAGTGACAGGACTCAACGCCCTATGCAGTTTTGAAGCCGGTGAAGGTGAGAGAGGTGGGAAATTGGGAAATTTAAGGAGCTGGGGTCAGATTGGGCGTGCGATCGGGCCATTGGCATTCTGCAGTCTTTACTGGTGGGCAGGCAGAAATATTGCGTACCAGAGTGGTGCTGTGGCAATGATGGTAGTGGTTGGGTTTGTTTTTGTGGGATTGAAAGACCCAAGGAAACAGGGGACGTTGACTGGTTTGAAGGAGAAAAAAGATATATAAAGAGACGAAACTCTGTAGGATATTTAGTTCTGTGACAGAGACTGCATATCATGACCATTGCATTGAGTTTCCTTCTTATGTCCTGTAATTACTTGGTACCCCTGACAAGACTTAACTCTCAAAACACGATTGCTACTTTTATTGATAAAATAGCAAATTTGCAACACTACCATTAGACATCTTGTCCATCTTTAAATCCATAGTCCTTATACTCATGGAAACGCAATTAGATCTAGAATCTGTTGGGAAAAGACTTGCCAAATTGCCATTGCACTTCAACAAGAAGTGCAGTGGCAACAAGAATAATCTACGGGCCTACGTACGCTATTTGTAGCCCTAGGGAAACCCCTAAAGTCCGAACAAGCCGAGCTTCCTGGGCTTAGCAGAGGGCTAGACAATTCCCCCAGGAAAAAATTGTCATTTTGGGCCCGTACATAACACACAGGAATGTTCGTTTCCCCAACAGAGGATGACGGGCCGGAATATCCATGTAAATAATATTTGCCTAATATTTAAGGCCTGTAGGCTACCACTGCCTCGGCACGACCCTTTATCCTGGTATTCGCTCTCTCATTATGATGCATCTCCACGACATAACCGTCATTTCATGCTACTGTTACTTCTGCCATCCCGAAGGTGAGATTTATACGCATCTTCAATCTGATGGCCACGAGGGATTTATACGATAGCGCTCTTGCGCCTACCGCCTCACCCTCGATCTCCGTGTCGCTTCCTCCTACTCCACCACGTTCAACATCTGACCCTACAGATACGCACGCTTCGGAAACTACGCCTCCTCAGCCTTCAGTTATGCAGTCCCAGCTACCCGAGGGCGTCGACGCGAACTCACCTTCACTCCTGTCTATGCTCAAATCCGTTCCCAACCATTTACATGCCAACCTGCCTATGCCACATGAATGGCCATCTCTCTACTCTGGCTTCGTTCTCAAAAATGCGTCCTCTGTTGCGCAAATCGAATCGGCGCTCCGTAGCCTCACTTACATCATCCCCGGCCGGTTCCGCGATGCTGAGATTGCCTCGGAATCTCTTCATTCCTCTATCCAACTGCTCTCACTCTATCACGACTCACTATTAGCTCGCGCCGTTGCAAGATTACCTGGCATGCCGCATGTCGATAACCCCCATAATCGGTACACGAAATACTGGACAGGAAAGTCGAAGGTATATACGAGGGTTGCGTTGGTACTCCAATGCGCGCAGTATACGGAGCTGTTGTGGGAGATGACCGCGAAACGACGCGGGGAGAAAGTCCGATGGCGAGTTGTGGTGCTCATAGAAGCGCTGAAGGCTCTCTGCCGACTGTTCCTCTTGCGCATAACTGGCGGGCGCATGGTTGTCCCACCGTTACCCGACCGGGAGCCGATCCCAGAGGAGCCCACAGATGACAACGAGTTGGAGTATGGGGAGGACGAGTGTTTCGTCAAAGAGGAGAAGAAGCCAAAGGAGTGGTCAATGCCGCGGACTGGTCTAACTCTCCCGGCTCTACCGAGCCCCAGTGATATCAGCAGCTTTCTCATGCGAAAAGTGCTGACCGCTGATGATATCAAGCCCGCCACGACTCTCCTGTCACGTATCTCTGGAACGGCACATCTCGCTGAGGTTCTCCATATCCTTCGACCAGTACTATACGCCATCGCCATGTCACGAAACAAGGACAAGAAGAGCTGGCGGCCATGGCTTTTTGCGATCGCCATTGAACTCTCTGCGAGGCAGTTGCGAGCTGAGAGAGGGCGTAATGGAACGCGAGAGACAGCGCTGGAGAAAGAAGAGTGGAATAGGAGAGGGCGGGCTATGGGTTGGTGGACGTTGAGAGGCGCGTTCTATGAGAATGTGACGAAAGGCTGGGTGCAAAGCTTGGTGGGTGCTAAGTACATGCCGGGCTTGGTGGGTGGTATTCTGGAGGATTATGCATTTTTATGGGAGGAGTATCATTTCGCATCTGATGATATGTAAAAGTCTGAAGGGATGACGTATTAATACGAGGAAACGGCAAGAGTTGGAAGCACGTCAACGCAAACTTGCATTATTGCACAGTCTCGAGACACGGTGCAGCAAATTGAAGATAACAAGCTTGTTATATTGTCAAGGCGTATGGGGTGGTGGAGTCGGTAAAACATCCACCTTTTGGGCGATTTCCTGAGGCGTTTGGTTTTTCTGTACATTATTTGATATCGTTATGTAGCATTGCAACAGTGTCATAGAACAATTATAATAGCTAAACCGAAACAAAGGCAGGCTTTAGACAGTACAAGACAAGCTATCTGTAAAGCGTATAATGAGTCCAGCTTTCGCAAATTGGTCTAATAAGACAATTCCTCAAACACCTCCCATCATGTCCATTCCATCCTCAAGTTTGGGGTATGGTCAACAGTCAAACCCTAGTCAAACCCTCTTCCGTTCCGCTGCCCTCATAAACTCTGCTACCTCGTCTAATAACGTCACGCATTCGTCCGGGTTTGCTACCCACAATGTAGTAGCAACCCTTCTCGCGCGGAAATCGTTTGCGCCATTCGCTGACAGGAACTGGTCGCCAACATGCATCGTTCTCTTCCCCTCAATACTCCTACCAAGCCTATCCCCAAAATATTTTTGGCAGACTAGGACTCCCCAGCTCTTGTCCCCAATATCAACAAAGACGTCGTTGCCACCGTTAAAAGCACAGAAGGGGAGAGTCTTTGAGACAGGGGACATCTCAAGAATCTTCTGCACAACAAGTACTGTCTCCTCCAGGGACTCGCGTGGAAACTTAGCACCCTGAATAGTGGGTACGATTCCGACTGCCCGTTCTTTCCGGATAACAAGGGCAGAGAGGGAGAGATGGGTGATGCATTCATTGAGGGCGGCTTCGGATTTATCGAGCAGCGCTTGAATGACGGGCTCCGACCAGGTGAGCATATCATCGAGGATCCAGGAACGGCGTGGGACCCATTCAAGTAAATGAGGCGAAGAGATGGAATACTCGAAGAGGAAGTTTGATTCGCCCCCTAGACTTGTTAGAAGGTCACAGGGAGGGTCACAGATAACAAGAGCACTTACCCATGACAACGAGATTATGTTTTTGTTCGATAGTGAGAACTTTGGAGTCTCTGATGGCTTCAAGAAGACCATATAAGCGTTCAAAGTAGCGTTCGGCCTCCGTGTAGCCAGCTGCCGTGACAATACCAACCTTTGTGTTTCGGCTCATGAGGTCTAAAATGCCAAACTTAACAACTGTATGGGCTATATGACTCTGGAGCAACCGTATAACTGACTAACCTATGATTCGCGTGATGACAGGATTATCCGGTTCCAGGCTCTTCCCGTCATCATACAGAGTCACATCGCCATCGAACGTAGCCAAATCTAAGGCGCCGGCTGCTGCAACCCCCATGATCTGAGCGGTATTTAGGATAAGGCGGATGTCGTTAAACGAGGGCGGCACAAAGCGTCTTGATGAGATGAATCGTAGGCTATCCTGGTATCTGAATGCCTCTGCCAAAGGGAGTCGAGTAAAAAAGTTACCAATGCTAGGAACCAGAAGCTTGAGCTTTGATTGGTGTTGCAGGCCCTCATCTTGGTGGTTGACTGGACAGTGGTTAGAGGCATAAGCTCATGAATAACACATATCGGGTCGACGAGTGACAAGGGTATATAGACATACTGTGATCATCTATCATTTCCTCGACATCTTTCATAATCTCGGCATAACGCCTGCAGGCTTCAGCTGCCATGTCGGCCACGGTGCCTCGTGCTTCGAAGACACCCGTAGGCTGTGAGCGCAGCACAAATGGAACAGCTAGGAGGCCCTTTATCCATTCTGGTCAGAGGTAAGCGAAGGTCACTCATGGGGGATTGACATTGGTGCAAGATAATATGAGGAAGCCTGTGAAGAGAAATGACGCGGAGCAATATGGAATGGCCGAAGAATAAAATAAAGCCAACACTGGCGGCTTGCTCTCACCTATAAACTGGTCCCTTCTATGGGTCTTGAGGGCATCTATAAGGTTGGATAGCTTTAGCACACTCGACCAGCGACTCACGTGCTCTCTCGCTGTGATCGTCAACTGAAGGGAGGAGCCAGAACATACACTCAACTCGGTATCTAGTGGTCATATTGGCGCTCCCGTTACGGTTATTTGGGTTATATCGAAGTAAAGAGCGACAGATCCAGCAGTATCCGCAGAAATTGGCTGAGACGGGTCAGAGCGAGTGGGCACTGTGAGTTGGCAGTTTGTCCTGTGTTGGAGAGCACAGTAGTACACAGTGTGCGACCTGTGTGATAGTGCAAGGGTAAGCACGACACTGTAAGGTTGAGTATAATTGTGACTGTAAGGCAGAGTATGATACTGTAAGGTGGGTATGGCACTGTAAGGTAGGTATGATACAATACAGTACAGTACTAAGTGCGATAGAGTGACAGAGTGGTAAGTGTGAGTAAGTGCAATGCGATAGATGGCCCCTGTACCTGTCGCTGCTTTTACGCGGTTGTTTGTTTGGCTATTTAGCGACAGACGCGGTCTTTCCCTTTCTCTTTCTGGTAATATCGCGGACCGGCGGCACGGCAAGCCACGTGACTCCATGATGGTAGTTCTATGCGCGATGTATGGAGAGACAGTATAAGATTAGTTAGTATACACACAGTCTGCTCACAGTAAGTAGGGGTTCCGAGGTATGAGATATCTATATGCAAGGATTTTAGATATAAATTCAGTAATATCCTGTATCTTTTTATCTCAGCAACCCAGAAAGTATTCTACATCTATACACTCCGCCAATCTTCCCGAGTATATCACGAAGCACCATGCTTGGGGTTTCGACCAACCAAAGGCGGGGTTCATGATCTCACCCTTCCAGACCCAGTTCCAGATCTGGTTTGCAAAGGCACTCGGGGCCAAGAGAAGTATGCAAGTCTAATATATCTTGTCGTACAACTACACACTCTCTGTCCCACCAGCCCATAGTCTCTATTCCTCACGTAGGAGCAAACTTTAGCGTTGATATCTCGATATTCCAATCTGACGGTCTTAAAAACGACAGTGCTAACTTATACCAGTCCTCGAGATTGGTTGCTACATCTCGGAAAAGCCAAGGGATTTTCCGAAGCATTCGGTCCAGATGGTCACGTCACAACTCTCGAGTTCGACCCGGAATACGCCCAAATGCCACCCCTAAAGAGCTTTCAACTGAAAAGGGGGGAAGAGCCGAGCAGTTGGTCGCTCTGGATAGGTTCAACAAGGACCTTGTTCAGAACGAGCGACTCTCAAGTCTGAGACCTTCCTGCTCCCACTATTCGACGGGCTGGGAATGGGGAGGCTGAAGGATTAGTAAGGCTACGAGTATAGTTAATACTGTAGCCTACCCATCTCGAGCAAAGTCTCGCCAGAAATATAGTTACACCAACATCTTTATCTACCTCTCATTGGTGTCGTTCTCCGATTTAGTCGCTTGCACCAAATTCAAACGTGATGTAGCTACAATTATAAACGAATTTCATCACTGATGAGTTGACAAATGTTCAAATGATAACTTTAGACTACATGCCGGACTAAAGCACCAGACAAACAAGAGCGCTATCTGTGGCTTCTAGGTCGACACACCATCAGAACAAGCTTGTACTCGTTTTCTATGAGCTACCAATCCGGCCATCTCAAGCTCTTGTACCAGCTTCACCCCTTGAGCAATTCTCTTTAGACAGTTCCAAACAACGAACCAAGGTCCATCAAGTATCGAGATATCTCGACACCATTTGCTTTCGGTATCCTCAGCCTTCCTTTTCAGGTAATGGTGACTCTGAATCCTTCCCATGCCAGATTGCCTTCTCTCCAGACGATAGCCCTGGCTAGCATCAGTTGGTCAACTGCGAGCCATAGTTGTCGCAATGGCGAATCCAAGCTATCCACCCGTTTTTCTCAGACCTTTCTACATTGCCCAGGACCGTGACAGGCTCAATAACTATTCGGATACGTTGTGACATCTTCTTCCGTGCGCTATTTAGGTGGCCCAAAGCCTTTAGTTGTTGCTTTCTTGCCTTTTCAAGCGTCGTGTCTTGGGCCTTGTTGGCCTTGGTTTGGGCCTTGTTAGGCTGTAGTGCTGTCCTAGATACTTTGGAATGTGCTGCAACTTCCTCAGCAGTAGCATCGATTCCCTCACCATCAGCTACGGGCCCAGCATTTGCCACTCTAGCTTCGAGTCCCCATGTGTCGGATAAGTGGTCGACATGTCCTCCGTGGTATAGATCCATGAACTCCATGCCGACGCCTTCCTCTGGTATATCGACCCTCACAAGGAGACCCTTAGGGCGAAACAGATTGTTCTGGGATGCTCGAACATATTCGAAAACCTTAGAATGCGATTTTTGGAAGTCGAGTTTCTCGGATTTCGCGCCACGCCCACCAAACGTAAGTACCAGGCGAATTGGAGTCTTCTTCTTCTTCTTATTACGCTGGGGGCTAATAAGCGAGGCCAGATGAGCTGTAAATTTATTCCAGTCTTCCTCGAGTATCTCATAAGCAGCAAGCCCAGGCGGGTAAGGGAAGCCGTCGGCTACTCGACTCTGCGAAGGGACTTGAATACCAGTCTGGTATGGTTTTGCGGCGGATGATGGAACGATCGCTGAAAGGAGCGTGGTTCTGGTGTGTATGTCTTCAGTAATAGGCAGTGCTGCGGACTTTTTCTGCGAATAAGATCCCCCAAGAGGCTCATTTGGATGGGAGCTCTCTTCAATATCTGCCACGACTGGGGATGTTTCGATTTCTGAAGACTCAACTACCTGCTTAGATACCTTAGCTGTAGGTGCTTCTGATGGTTTGGTACCCGGCGGCGTCAGTCCCACAGTCCTGGCCTCTTCCTTGTGTCTCACGACTGGGATATCAGGGGTCTCTTGAATGCCGTCGATGGCGCCTGGGATAGATGGCACAGGCGCTGTTACTAGCACCGCTGCTGCGGTTAAACTTCTGGACAATTTGGAAGGGAAAGCAGTTCCAGTTTCGGGCTTTGGTGTGGCGTTTCTCGTCATGATATGTACGACGGTGTCTACTGCTTCTTGTTCTGGTGAAGTAAAACGCGGCAGCTCTGCGTCGCTATCCTGTGCAAAGATTTAGTTTCACGGTCTCTTTGAATATAGATTTGCAGTGCAACTGGCTGATGTTCGGCGCCAGTATGCATTACGTACTGAATGAGGATTTGGGTGGATAATAATGTAGACGGTCGACATCAGACCTATCCTCAGACTAGGGAGCAGGTTTCTGCGTCTTTGGCCCTATTTGTTGAGGAAATGGATTGTAAAGTACCTGCCAATGGTGATGTGAACAGGATACAGATAATAATATAGTAATTTAGGAGAGCTGTGCGTGAGATACTTAGGTGTACGATCTGCGTAATGAATGAAGATAAAGATCAAGACGAAGGAGAGTTGACTCGAGAAAGAGAAAAAGAGGAAGCGGCTTTGAAAGATGCAGAAAGTCCCATCGGGTTGGGAGGCACGAATGGCGGGTTGACCATTGGACCTTCCTTGAAATTTTGGTGATGTAGCTATCTAACTACGACACACGGAGGATGTACCAGTGAGTTATTGTTCGTTTCATGTGCCATCAAAATCATAAATCCCCCAAACTGCCATAATTACGACCCAGGACTCCTTCGCTATGTTAAATGAGGCTGTACCATCTCCCAACGATCTTTATCTTCTCTCCCTGTCCGGCTGTGCCCTGCTTCGGCTACAACTGCGATCGCTGCTGTAGCTGCTGTAACTCGAACTTCTCCTCCGAGCCCCATTACGGTCTTCGTTATCTCGCTTCCCACCGCCCCTCCTTGGGGATCTTGACCTGGATGAGTAGGTTTTGGAATGGCTCCTACGCGCCCTTGGCGAACGAGACCTGGATAGTGACCGTGGTCGATAGGTATCTGACGGAGCACCTCTGTTGTAATTTCTGTTTGGGGATCGACGCCTTGGTGGTGGTGGGCCTCGAGCGTCCATTCGTGCTCGTGGTTCAATATTTGCGCCGCCCCGTCTTGCCAGTGGCGGTGCTGGTGAGAACTTGCGTCTCGGAATGACAATAGACACGCTTATCACAGCCCCATCCAATTGCGCTTCATGCATATGGGCAATGGCCTGGTCAGCGTCGGCTTCAACCGCGTATAGAAGGTAAGCAGTGCCACGGTTTGTACCGACTGTACGGGTTAGAAAGGTCCTATTGAGAGCTGACACTGCTTACATTGTCTGTTCATTGGCATATCCATATCGATAATCTCGCCAAAGCTCCCGAATAGCTCTCTGAGGTGGTTCTCATTTATGTTTTTAGTGAGCCTCTCAACCACGATCTGGAACTGGTCAGTAACAACTTCGTTCGTAGCACGCGACAGCGTATTGTAGGACCCAGATAAAGGCTAAGTGCGGATTTCATACCTTTGTGCTTTTCACATCTGGACTTGGGCTACGTGATATGGTCCTGGTGGCTCTGCGGCCTCCATTTCGATCATATGAGGGGGGGCGTGAGCGGCGGGGTGATATAGATCGCCGATGCAAGGGTGGTGGAGAGCGAGAATTGTCCAGACGAGGTGAAAGAGAGCGCATGCGTTCGCGCCCACGAGATAAAGAACGCGGAGGCATCGCAGGTCGAAAACTGGATGCTTTTGGACGAATTGCTTTATAAAATAATCGGAGAGTAAGGTCGTACACAAGGTTGATGTGTAAGGGTTGTTTGTGTGTTGTATATTGCGTATTGTGTTTTGCCAATTGAATGCGATGTGAAGTTAACGGGCGCGGCTGTGGATTGATTGAGCCTTGGAGTTTGAGTTGAACTGAACGAACGCGTCAGAAACGCCAAGCTCAGATTTAATTGCTCGCTTATCTGGAACTAACGTAGGTCATGGCGTAACGGGGGTAATGGCGTAACGGGGGGTAGTGGGGTTGGAAACACCCCACCACTAGCAACTCTATGGCTCTAGGCCTTTCTTCTTTAGGGCCGATGTAGTCAGTCCTTCTGCTACGAGCGTCAGCTGACTTGTAGGTTTGAGGAGGAGATTTCTAAGTTTGCTCTTGAGTTTGATAGCAAACTGAGTGCAACGAATGTCAGTATGACACTGTTGTTCAACTCAACTTGATGACTTATACTACCGCTGCAAGTGATATCATACACTTCAACATTGAAGGATCGACCTACCCTATATAGGTATAGACAGATCATAAGAATCTCATATACTTCACCACAACTAAGGTTTTAAACTGCAGACAAGTCTAATAGGCAGAGACACTCATAGCATACATGTAATGGTGGGTGCACCAGATATGAGAATCTAGCCACCCAAGGAAGGGATGAATTTACTAAGACAACACACTGTCTTAGGAAACAGAGCCAAAGGGTTGTAGCTTAGACTATTCCACAACGCAGCAATCAGGTGTATGATGTGGTGAAGTGGTTTAGACAAGTTGCAACAAATGTTGAGTCTGAGAACTCAGGGATAAGTCAAAGGTTAGCACCTCACTGACTTTTCAGAAACAAGGAGTAACAAGATCAATGCTTGGAAGCTTGGAAAAGACGTGGAAGTATGTGCTAGTCAATTTACTGTATTGCCTGCTTGCCCTTTCTTAAGGAAAGGGCAATCCTATTTATGCCAAAGGAGTGTAGTTCTCTCATTTTCCATGACTTTCCATGACTAACCAGGCTTGGTAACTGTAGTCGACGTAAGAGAATCCCATAGAACCATCTCCTAGGTTCCTAGCCTATAGGAAGTGAAAAGGAGGTCCAAGGTCAGAGTACCTATAGACAAATTATGTCATAACTTAACCAATCTTGTGGGTAACTAAGGAGCGATGACGTGTAATGAATCATAGAGGGTTGTAGAAGCTTCTAGAGCTATCGTTCATGTTCCTAGGCCTCTAGTTGGTAGAGATATGCCATGTGGTAGTATTGGCCCACCCCCTTAAGGAGGAGATATTCTTAATAACTTGTTCAATGAGTGTCCAAATAATATGCTGTGATGTATGTAGCATAAACAGATGTAGTAGAAGAGTTTGCAGCAATCGTTGAGTAGTATTGCTTCTGTTGTTGGTGTGATAAGCCAAGATATGTATGGTGACTTGTAGGTTTGAGGAGGAGATTTCTAAGTTTGCTCTTGAGTTTGATAGCAAACTGAGTGCAACAAATGTCAGTATGACAATACAACTTCACGATTACATATCGCAAGGGCTCTAAGAATTGGCTTATCACACCAACAACAAGAGCAATACTACTCAACGATTGCTGCAAACTCTTCTACTACATCTGTTTATGCTACATACATCACGGCATATCATTTGGACACTCATTGAACAAGTTATTAAGAAAATCTCCTCCTTAAGGGGGTGGGCCAATACTACCACATGGCATATCTCTACCAACTAGAGGCCTAGGAACATGACCGATAGCTCTAGAAGCTTCTACAACCCTCTATCATTCATTACACATTATTGCTCCTTAGTTACCCACAAGATTGGTTAAGTTATGACATAATTTGTCTATAGGTACTCTGACCTTGGACCTCCTTTTCACTTCCTATAGGCTAGGAACCTAGGAGATGGTTCTATGGGATTCTCTTACGTCGACTACAGTTACCAAGCCTGGTTAGTCATGGAAAGTCATGGAAAATGAGAGAACTACACTCCTTTGGCATAAATAGGATTGCCCTTTCCTTAAGAAAGGGCAAGCAGGCAATACAGTAAATTGACTAGCACATACTTCCACGTCTTTTCCAAGCTTCCAAGCATTGATCTTGTTACTCCTTGTTTCTGAAAAGTCAGTGAGGTGCTAACCTTTGACTTATCCCTGAGTTCTCAGACTCAACATTTGTACAACTTGTCTAAACCACTCCACTACATCATACATTTGATTGCTGCATTGTGGAATAGTCTAAGCTACAACCCTTTGGCTCTGTTTCCTAAGACAGTGTGTTGTCTTAGTAAATATCATCCCTTCCTTGGGTGGCTAGATTCTCACATCTGGTGCACCCACCATTACAGCTTATTCACTAGTGACCTGTACCTGCTACACGAATTGGCTGTGGATCGTACCTCTAGAATATTTCCCTAACGTTCTATTCTGTAGTTTTGAATGAACATGATAAAGACGGTTGTAAATATCTGTATTTCCTACCTTTTGAACTGCCTGTTGCTATATATAAGCAATAGTTAATTAAGGCTGAGATTCTAAGCATTTGCTTAATATCTACATATGATGCATTCATAAATACATAAAGAGTAATAATTACAGAGCGTAGTAGCACTGAGATTTCTGCCATATTTGAGTCTGCTATACTCGAGTAGTAGGTGCTGCTTTGTTGATTCTCATATTCTAGGTACCTAGGTACATAGTGATCTGTCAATTCCCTACGTTCTAATTAGCCGTGGTGCACGGACCCTACAGAGACTTTTGGGCAGCACGATCGCTTAAAGGGTCTCTGGCTTTGACGAACTAAAAAAAATCCCCAAAAGGCCAAAAGAAATGCCCACATTCAGAGTCGAACTGAAGACCTCGGCATAACGAGGTATCACGTGACCATGAATCGTACTAGTGCCGCGCTCTACCAACTGAGCTATGGGGGCTCATAGTTATTATCGGCGCACATGATATGACTCTTATGCATCGGACAAAAGGGACCCCTTCCCCCTTCCAACCCTTCCAACGGCATTTGTAAATCCCATGCTTCGGTTACAGGGTCATAAACTTGCTTTTTGGACTTCAAAACATCATTGCCACCCTGTCTGTCGTCCATTCTTTGACCTCTATTTTTTGTAGTTCTTTTATCTAACTTCACTTCTCATTCCCTGCCCCGATCCATCTCTATCATTATTATCACGGAGGCCTAGATACCGAATCGGGCTGACTAAAAGGTACAAAGGCAGGATTCGCACGTGATAAAGCCAGAGCTGGAGCGCGACGCCAACAATGAATTGAGCTGAGCTGAGCTTCTGGCGTGTGTTGGGACCAGCATGTGGCGCATACCATTTGTGTCCAGGCTCAACCTGTAAGTCTTCTGGCTGTGGAGGAAATCGGTGAACAAGCGCTGATAAGGAGGTAGGAGCGAGTATGTAGCACTCGTCGTCTCCTTCATGTTGGTTGGGCTAGAAGCACTTATTCGAGTCCTCACTCTTGCACTGCGTAGGATACCTCCCCAGGCTCCTGTACAAGTTCTCCATGGCTAATACTTTATAGCCACGAGTATAATAGCCCTGTGTTATCGAGCGTCGAAACGACTGTTCCACTATACTACGTCCACAGCAGCAAAGAAGTCGGTGTCCAGGCAAAGCTGTATGTACCCCATATCCCCTTGGTAATTATAGGACTGACATTATTGCTACAGCCCGGTCAAGTGCCATCCGTGATGCTTCCGATTTTGTCGACTTATGCGCACTGTCAGGCTACCTGGCAGAAGAGCATGTAGTACAGACTTCAGATGGATACTTGCTTGGGCTCCACAGACTTGGCTGGGAACGAGGAGAGGAGGGTGTCAGGGTCAATTCGTCAAAAGGCGGCATAAAAAAACCGGTGGTATATTTACATCATGGGCTACTTATGAATAGCGAAGTATGGGTGTGTCTGACCGACGAAGAACGCTGTCTGCCATTCCACCTTGTGGAAAAGGGGTACGATGTTTGGGTATGTCTATCCTACTTGTTGATATAGTCTTGGGATTTACTGACCGTTTATAGTTTGGAAACAACCGTGGGAACAAATATTCCAAGAAATCCATCCATCACCCTCCGATAGCAATGGCATTTTGGGATTTCTCAATGGATGAATTTGCTTTTCATGACATCCCCGATAGTATCGACTACATCCTCTCTACGACCTACCAACCGTCGCTGTCATATATTGGATTCTCGCAAGGCACAGCACAGGCTTTTGCAACACTGTCAATACACCCAAAATTGAACGACAAAGTCAACGTGTTCATAGCGCTCGCACCGGCAATGTCCCCAGCAGGATTACGGAACGGCATTGTTGACTCGCTGATGAAAGCTTCTCCCGAGGTTCTGTTCCTCCTTTTTGGCCGTCGCTCCATCCTGAGTTCAACGACAATGTGGCAGTCTATCCTGTACCCTCCAATATTTGTGCGTGTCATCGACACCTCCCTGGCCTTCCTTTTCGGCTGGTACGGCAAAAACATCTCCATGGCTCAGAAGCTCGCGGCCTACCCCCATCTCTACTCCTTCACCAGCACCAAGAGTGTAGTCCACTGGTTCCAAATCATCCGCACCGCTTCCTTCCAGCTCTACGACGACGATGTCCAACCCCCACTCCGCCTCGGCAGCGTCAGCAAATATACCAAGGTCGCCCGCTTTCCAACCCGCAACATCAAGACCCCCGTCGTCCTTGTCTACGGTGGCTCCGACTCCCTAGTTGACATCAACGTCATGTTGAAGCAGCTCCCCGCCCACACCGTGGCCACCGAAATCCCACACTTCGAGCATCTCGATCTCCTATGGGCCCGCGATGTTGACACTCTCGTCTTCCCGCACGTCATAGACGCTCTCGAAAGCTTCTCTGACTCTGGGCATACTGAAGAGCACTTTGCCAAGCACCGTGCCGCACGCCATGCGTCCCTTGGGCCGGGAGCGCGGCGCCCTCATAACCCAACGGAGTCGACCTCCAAGTCTCTGGGCAGCAGCTATGCTGATGTAGCAGCTGTTAATGTAGCAGCTGTTACTCCCGACATTGACGACGATAATCTTGTCTCGGATGGACCGCGTCGGAATACCGAGGGCGCGATGCCTTCTCTTGCGAGTAGTAGGAAGAGAAGGGGGCGTTCCGGGAGCGAGAGGATTGAATACGACTCAACCTCGTCGTCTGAGATTGCATATGTCACAACTGCCCGTGCTACGGAAGATGAGAAGTGAGGTGGTGGATTGTTTGCGGGTGTGTGGGGATACATATGAGATCAACCTGATGGATCGCTTGTATATTTTGGATAAGATGCACGTACATATATATGTGTTAGATATTGTTCCCAATGGCAGGAGCGTGGGATCCCCCACGTGCGTTCATGGGACATGTCTACTACATTACTACATCGTCGGTCTCGCCGTCTCTGATCTGTGTCTAATCGTCATCGACGTCATCTGACCATGAAATCCAACGCCGTCAACGCCGTCAACGCCGTCAACAACCATCCCACACATCCCACAGCGATCAGTCCTAAATTACTACTTTAGTCGACCCGATGAGCAAATCCATCCGCCCAAATCCCCCAAAACGACCCAACGATCGATCCCCGATGAGCCTCACTGGTTCCGCGGATGTATGTATAGTAAGAGTAAGTGGTATGGTCCTTATTACCATACTACTACTTCGTACTTTACACCAATATGCACGTGTACTACATAACTGCCACTTTACTAGCTAGACTCGTGCACTGTAAAGATGTAACCGCCGCTTCTCCATTTCCCCATTTCCCCATTTCCCCATTTCCCCATTTCCCCATTTCCCCATTTCCCCATTTCCCCATTTCCCCATTTCCCCATTTCCCCATTTCCCCATTTCCCCATTTCCCCATTTCCCCATTTCCCCATTTCCCCATTTCCCCATTTCCCCATTTCCCCATTTCCCCATTTCCCCAAACATCATCTTTCCAACTACCTACCTACCTACCTATTTACTACCTACCTACCCCTAACCCAGAACCACTAAAAAATCCCCTGCCCCACCGATACCGACACCACAGACACCACCAACCCCACCAAAACTGCGAGTCTTTTACAGGGCATATTCCTTGTCGCTGCTAATCGACCCTCACTACTCAATCTCGACGTTGTTGCCACGATTATGGCTGCGGCCGCGATCACACAAGCTGGCGCCCGCTTCCCTGGCATCGCCGCTCTCTTCGAGAAATCTTCCATCTCCTGGAGCACCTCGGTCGATGCAAGCCGCAAAAAGGACGCCGTCGCCAACATGTTCTTGTCCAATGCGGCCACTCGCAACCCGCCCGGCGATCTGACCAACGGTTTAGTGGAGAAGCATCTCGGTGGTAGTTCCAAGACGCTGCGTCTTCAGGACTTCAAGTTGTTGAGGATCCTCGGGACGGGGACATTCGCGCGGGTTTGGCTGGTCAAACTCGCTCACCCAATGCAGGGAGCCGAGGACCGGGTGTTCGCATTGAAGGTCCTACGGAAAACTGAGGGTGAGCAGCCGCCCTTCCGTCTTTCTTTGCGGGTCTCACGTCGGACAACGCTGACATTGTGCTACAGTAATCAAGCTCAAGCAAGTTGATCACGTCAACCACGAACGGGCCATCCTGGCTGATATTGCCGGTTATCCCTTTATAACTACATTAATTACCACTTTTATGGACTCGGAATGTCTGTACATGCTTGTAAGCTGCAGTTCCCTGGTCGCATCAATACCCACATGTCGCTAACTCTCTTCCTCCCCAGCTGGATTACTGCCCTGGCGGCGAAATATTCAGCTACCTACGACGCCAGCGCCGCTTCCCCGAACACGTCTCACGCTTCTACCTCGCTGAGATCGTCCTGATCCTCGAGTTCCTGCATGAGCGCGAAGGCGTCGCCTACCGCGACCTCAAGCCCGAGAACATCCTCCTCGACGCCGCGGGACACGTCAAGCTCGTTGATTTCGGCTTCGCGAAGCGCGTGCGCGATAGTACGCCCTCCTTTCCTTACCGTCCCATTCTCTCTTCCTCAAAACGGGTCATGCGGCGGTTGACCCGAAGCACGGTGGACGCGGATACTTATTATGGTGGTGGGTTGGCGCAGTCGGCGCTCGGATGGCTATATAGTCGTAGTGTTGTTGTTGACAGCTGCTAACTTGTGGAAATAGGGGAAACATACACACTCTGCGGAACTCCCGAGTACCTCGCTCCCGAAGTCATCCACTCCCAGGGCCATTCGACCGCCGTTGACTGGTGGGCCCTAGGCATCCTGATGTACGAGTTCATCACTGGGTATCCACCATTCTGGCACCAGAACCCGATGGAGATATACAAGCAGTGCGCATCCGTCCCGTCCCCCTCCCCCGATCACGATGCTAACCCACACCAGGATAATCCACAAATCCATCAACTTCCCCTCCCACGACCCCCCCATCTCGAGCGACGCACAGGATCTCATCCTAGCGCTCTGCACAGTCGACCGCTCGCACCGCCTAGGCAACCTCTCCGGCGGCGCCGCGGACGTGAAGTCGCACCCCTTCTTCGCCTCCGTGAACTGGGACGACGTGTACGCGCGCCGCCACGACGGGCCCGTCATCCCCAAGCTGAGCGGCGCGAGCGACGATAGCTGCTTCGAGCGGTACAGCGAGGATGAGGGGCAGGTGGACATTTACACGCAGGAGGCGCGGGAGAAGTGGGATAGTGCGTTTGAGGGGTTCTAATTGAGGGCACGTGGTGGCGATGGGTGGGCGAAAGGTGTATAAATGGGAGGTGGTGGGCTGGAAGGCGTTTTTGGGCGGGGAAGGTGGGGGGGTGCTTGGTGGGATTTGTATAAATATTATGGATGGGTGGGTGGGCATGGGTGGTTTGGTGGGACGGAGAATGCTGCATGGCGGGGATGGGTTTGTATAACAGGCATGCAAGATATGAACAGCAAAGACGGGAGCATTGCTTTCCTTGATTAATAGAATCTGAGTCGACGACTCTTATCATGATTATGAATTCCAGTCTTGCTTCGGAGATGTGACCGCCCTAGATTTATTGGTGTTTCCGATTATTTTATTAATTTATGGTCCATAACAATATAATGCTCTTAAGATATTTTATTGCTATACGGTATATGTGCCACCAACCTTCATTCCTGATATTCCCAAGCCATCGTTCAAGACAAGAAGTCTTACTTTATTATAACAAATCACAAGGCAAAATTCCACAGTAATATTCCTTATAAACCACGTCAACATCTGATAATGGAACTGCCAATAACTTCACCTGTCCATATTAATGCAGCTTTCTATTCTCTTGTACAGAATAATACTGTATCCCACTTTTAATCCCCATATCGGTGTTCCCCCACCGTATGGCCTGCCAGTTGAAAAGATACCCCTCAACCCATCCTTCGAACAATAATTATCTCCCCATCCACAATCCAAACAAATACCCAACCCCAACCACCTCATATACCAGCTACCGTTGTCTCCCGTCTCTAAAACCCGCCATCCGTTTTCTACAAAAACACATTACTATCCTCACTCCCCGCGACCCTCTTCCGGCGACTGCTCAGAAAAAGATCCACCATGCGTCTACTCCCCATAACCTGCCCATTCAACCCCAAACTCCTGCCTCCTACCATTACACCTTCGGCCCCTCCGAGCCCATCAGCCTTTGCCGGTGTCCAGTTCTCCATCTCCGCCACCCTTCCGCCAACAGATGCGAACTTCTTCTCCGCAACCACCTGCACAAATTCGGCCTCCGGGCTCCGCAACTGCGCATTATCGTTCGACGCGCGCCTCCCAATCTTCTTGACAAGCTTGATAGGTGTTTGTGTCTGCACACACCGGAGCGTCGCGCTGGACTGTTTTCGCTGCATTTTTTGTCGTGTATTGGCACTTTCGCGCTGGGAATATGGGGAGTTCCCTGTCGAGGTTCCCATCACATTCGCAGCTGAATTACTTACCACACGCTCTTTTAGGACAGTACTTACGCCCTTCATGCTACATCTCGACGGCACCTGCCTCAACGAGCTATGCATCACCCTTTGGCTCGGTGTAGGCGTGACATTCGGCGCCAGCTGCGAGCTTGATGATAGCTTACTCTTCAGGATTGGTTTTGGCGAGACGTTGGCATCCTCCTGCAATACTTCTAGTGGCTGGTTTGTAATTGTAGTAGCTTTCGGCACCGAAAATGCCGTGTCATCCCCCGAGATCTGCGCCGTCTCTCGAATATGCGCCCCGAATATTTTGGGCATCGTAGGCACGACATGCGGAACGAGGTGGACAGCAGACGTGGCAGCATCCACGTTTTCCTTCGCTCTCTCGAGCTTGGAGACTTGTGCGCTCATCCAAGCTTTCCAATCCGTACTCCCAGTGCTTGCATTAACACGATGTAGTGGTGCCGAAGGGCAGTAAGTAGTACGCTCCACCAATACCGCAGATCCAAGTTTCCGCGGCGTTGAGTCTTCGTTGGCTCGAGGCGACTCTGTCATATCGGGTGGAGTTCGCCCACTTGTAGTTCTGGAATAAATGCTCTCCGTATAGGCAGAATCAATTCCGCCAGCCTCCCGTTTGTCGGTTTCACTATCAGCTAGGCTAAGAGCGGACTTCGCTCGCCGTAGACTGTCAGGCAAGAGCGGACTTGAGTTAGCGGAGGACATTCCCATCTTGGTCATTGTAGAATTTAGATCTGCCTCGGCCATTGCTCGCCTATAGGGGCTAGGCGTGCCTCCGATATTGGTCAGTTCAGTGCGGCCGAAAAATGTAGACCTGGTCTCCCTCGGGCCTCTGCTGACAGTGCCTTGGAGTTCGACAGTTGCCATAGCCTCTTGTGGACTTATTTTGGTCGGCAAACCTCCCATTATGGGTGGTGGATACGCTCTGTAATTTGATTTTCTGGTGATAACTGTAGAGGCAGAAGAGTTGCTGTGTCCACGTTTGTGCCCAACGGAACCACTATCGTTATAGCTTCTTGCAGTGTAAAAAACATCATTGCTTTGGTTCATGTTTTGAAACCTATCTGTCGACGTAGAGAGATTTTCGGAGGAATTGTTAACCCTAATAATGGTAGACTTATACCCCTGGCTGCTCTGTCGACTGTCCACGGAACCACTCCCTGGAACATCGCGCTTGGGTGATCGACACGTCCTCGAGTTCTCCTTTTGCTTCGTCAATTTAGCTTCTGGGCTATTTTCATCAAGCCGCCTCATTAAAGCTGAGTATACACGTGCGCTATCAACCTGCCCAACAAAAGGCGGAGGATGTCCACGTGTGCTTCCAGGGGGATTGAAATCAGGGTATGCCGAATATTGATTTTTGAGGGGCGGACGGTTAAACGAGGATGACGCCTTGTGGGTGCCATTTTCGTTGATTACAGACAACCTCTCCCGTTCTCTTTCCGCAGCTGCATAACGGCTATTGGCCGTCGTGTCGGTGTTTGTCCAGCTCATCACTCTCGACTTACTACTTGCTTCACTGGTTAGGCTCTGCATGCTGCCAGCGATAGATCGTAGTCGATGGGAAGATGGGACCATACGAAGAGATGGCTGCTGAGTAGATACGCTTGAAAGTGTAGCACGACCAGGAGGTGACTCCTCGTAAGCGCTGCTCAATGCCATTGGCGGCCCTATCTGTATCTCATAATCTGTGATATGTGACTTTTGAGCTTGAACTTCTTTATCGGGTATGGCCCCACTCCCATCGCCATTACTCCGTCGAAAAAGGCCTTTCAATTTGTTTTTGAAACTCTTTGAAGCCTGTCGTGCTCTGTTTTTCAGGGTGTCATCCCAGCTCCGATGATAGTTTTGATTTTCGGAAGCGATGGGCATCCCATAACTGTTGGTACTGCTATTGGCGCGAAAGGATCTCCGGAGTGACTTTTCCTCTCTTCTCCTAGCTTTGCTCGAACGGAAGAGGAACGAGGGTTGTTCTCGAAGGCGCTGTTGTTCAACCTGGTGGAGGAACTTGTCTCTTGCAACCTGCACTGCTACATCGTATTCGGGATTTCGGGCTGACCTTGATCTGCCCCCTTGCAGAAAGCCCATAGACTTGGGTGCCCTCAATGCTATGTTGCTCTTTGATCTAAACAGACCATAATTTCTCTGGCCCACAATCGAGCTCTCTGGAGTACCATTGCTGAATAAAGGCCCCTGCGCTGTGGCAGGATGCAACATCGATTTTGATCTTCGTATCTTCCTGTATGAAGATGGAGTCGTCACCACATCGTCTTCGCGCGTGTAATACTCATCGTATGCCGCCAGTGCCGTGGCATAACTCTCAGGCCCAACCTGCCTGAACGACGCCTTCAACGACGAGGATCTGCTCTGAGGCCGATATGCTGAATGCACCGGCGCATCACCTGTGGATTCTTGAGGTCGAGGTGATCCTGTGCTTAATTTTTTCTGCACGGAGTTCTGTTGGATTGTTCTAGTGCCCAATGCAGGTCTCGGAGCAGCCAATGGTCCCGCAAACCGCACACTCTGCTTATGTTTCAATACCCCGCCTCTCGTGCCGTTATCTGTGCGTGGACGTATATTCTCTTCCCGTGGATTTGCGGTGTTGGCCGCAGCTACTGCGCTGCCTGGCCCCATGTCGCCACTCCTCTCCTGAGCTCGCGCAAATGCGTATGTTGCAGCGGCGTAAGCTTGCTGTCGTGATGTCTCAGGATCGATGTGCCGCTGGCTATGGATGGATGCTGCTGATTTCCGTCTTGTGATCCTATTCGACTGGCCACCCCGGGGCATGACGACCTTCCAGTGGAAATGGCGCGCCAACTAACAGCCAAATGAATCAGACTAGAAATGAAACCCGCACCCAGAGAGCAGCAAAAGCAAAGGCATGTGAGAAGTAAGAAGAACAATTAACCAAAATGCAAGACGCAAATGCGTAAGAGCTGCGAGAAGAGAAGAGAGATAGAAAAAGGACGAAGGAAGTCGGACCACGAGCCATGGTCGCAACTTCCTGAAACCGAAAATATTCTAAGGGAAGGAACCAACGGAAGGTTACCTACTACTCTTCTACTTCAGGAAACACCACCCAATATTCATGTGAGCCACAGGGCTATATTCTTTCGAAAGTTGGCGGCATTGCATAACACGTTTTCAGGTCTTGGGAAGTAGTTAACAGAATGTCACACAATGATATATTGTCTATCGTGTGGACCATGTAAAACAAGCCCCCCTTGGCAACCAATGACGATGCAACAATCTGGAGAGCCACAAAGGAAATAAAAGCACCATGCATAACCTCAAATACCACCGATCCAGCTCCCGTCCAACCTAAAAAACCTTAAAACGCGAGAGATAAAACAAGCCTATCCTAGACATATCACATTTATGTACTCGGATTCATAATCTCCTTCGAGATTACTAATCTACGACGACTCCTCAAAGAACTCCTTGAGCTCCCCCTCGACCAAGTCGTGGATCTTGCTCGAGAACTTCTCGATCTTAGAGGCAAGGTGCTTTGATCCCTTGACGATCCTGCCAGAGGCAACGTTGAATTCTGCCTGGATGGCAGCCTCCA